ACAGCCAGTCTGTGACGCCCCTGGGTTCATACAAGGCTGCAGTCCAAGGTAAAACCAAGAATGTCAAACCTGCCATGCACCACACCGTGCAATAACATGTTTCACCATCACAATTTTATCACTCTAGTAGAGACAATAACAGGTGTAGATACAAAAGCAAGTAAAAGATAACACAAGAGATAACTAATGAAATGATAGAGATCAAAATAATATTTCATCATCCAACATACAGAAATACAAAGTCAATATCTGAAATGAATAAACTGGAGTTTCTTAACAAGTCTTAAATACAACAAGTCTGAGTAAAGGAAATGAGACATACAGCCTTTACACCATTTAGAATATAGTCCTCAAATGTCTAACAACAACTACAATGGAGTTCCAAAATAAAACATAGCTAAAATAGATAGCTGAACGCTAAAGTGTGTCGCCATCAATCTGCGACTCTCCGGGCTCCTGGCTCGTTACCTAAAAGGGGGAGGGACAACGAGCGTCAAAGCGCTAGCGAGCAACATCACAACCAACCCCAAGGGAGAGGACTCGTTGTATATGAAAAATACAGTTATCACAAAATGTATATATAATCAATTATCCTAAGAATAATGGGTTTTAATACTTAGGAAATTTCAACACGAGTATAGGTACGTCGAGCGAAATAATCCAAACAAGGAAACCCTAATGTATATACCTTGTATCTCAAATTGAAAATCCCTAAGTACCGAACCCGGAGTCTAATACATGAACAATAAAGAAAAGACAACAATCCCATCTCTACCAAAAATCACAGTTTTGTCAAAGGTGCATAGTTACAATAAGTGTCATACCCAGCCTAGGTAGCTATCATGTCCCAATTTTATCAATAGGTCGTGTTCCAAACTCAAATGTGAATCATGCTCAAGGTTTAGCAAAAATGTCCAACACATGGACTGAAAGTAATGCATGTCCAACACATGGACTGAATAGAATGCATGTCCAACACATGGACTAAGATGATAAGTATCCAACACATGGATTAATAATAATGTATGCTCAACACATGGATTAAGAACAAAGAAGTGTAATTGTCACTAGCATATGTGGAAGGGTATACATATCCCACTCTTGCACGTGTTTCAATGTGCGGGTCTAAATTCGTGTCAAAAGTCAACCCCCATGTGTAGATAAGTCACTAACGCGGTCGACCGCCGCTCCCACCGCGGTCGACCGCGCAGAGGGCAGATAGACTCTGCCCTTCTGCGCGCCCAGCGGTCGACCGCTGCGTCTAACGCGGTCGACCGCGAAGCAGACATAAACCCAGATTTGAGTTTCTGTCAGCTTCGAAACACATACTAACTTGATGATTTCTGT